TATCATTTTTCCTGTGGTGTGTTCCAAAGCTTGAGTGCCATCACATGGCACTTGCACACTAAGCACAGAAATTATTAGCTTCATTGTGTCTGAGATGACTTCTGTGTTTCAGACTAATTGCCCCCCCTTTCATCAGAGCAGGAATGTCACACCAGCCCTAGAGAAGCAGCTAAGATTTATTTTCCCATTGAAGAGCCTCTTTATTTTACTGGGTCTCTCTGATCCAACTAGAAATATCTGGGGGAAAGAAATATTTTCAGTTCTTCCTCTTTGTCAGGAATTGTGATGTATTAATAACGGTGTAATTTATTTGGATAATAGCAGCAGTCTCACTCTTAGTTTTAATTGGAATGGCTATGTATTGCCAAGACTTATGGGAAATGTGTTTGTCTCAATTCATTTTACCAAATGAATCTTCCATCAGTTGAAATAGGTGTCCTACACAGAGTTACTTCTGTAATGCCTCCAGCTGGTGATGAGGATCTCAGTGCTGTTATAATTTACCATTTTTCTTGACATGATTATCTTTCAGTTTTGTTAGATAAATATTATTTGAGGCATCTTGAGTCTTCTGTTGTTGCTCTGTATCAAAGCTTTGGCCCTCAAACATCTGGAGACTTTTATTTTAGAACACCTGTGACCTGCGTTATCCCATATTAGCTGCCTTATTTTACAAAACTTTATCATGTTCCCCCACATATTGGGGGTGGAGGGAAGTTACAGGAACAGAGATATATCCTTTTCTATGTCACTTTAAGCAAGTCTCATTTTGAGTATTCATACGCTGTATTGTTAAGCTGCAGACTTGAAGAGAAATGGTGGAGATCTTAAAGAGATTCTTTCAAAATTTTCAGCTGCAAATTTATCTTTAAAGTCTTGGAAAGTTCTGAAGAACAGGGGATGCTAAATACGGCCAGAAAGGTCACTTTCTCCATTCTTGTCTAAGGATACAGGATTCCTGGTGGAAAGCTGTGTCATTCACTTTGGAAACGCCAACCATGAACTCCCGTGTGTCCCCTTAAGCTGATGAAAAGTATCTGGTACCACTTGTTCTTTCATCCCCATCTCTACCCGGTTCCTTTTTCTTGCTCATGAAAAGGTAAAGATAATAAAGGAACACTTTCCTATGTAGATGGCAGGGTCAGGACAGGGCCAAGAAGAATTAGGAGTTAAGTGACTGCTGAATAAGCAAATAGTCCTTTGGTGGGCAGCTCGAGTTTGTGTTTCTGGTGGTTTCAAATCCTTGCTAGGCAGATCAAATAATGCAATGACCGTGACAATTTTTAGGAGGCACTTGGAGATCTGACTGGGGGGTTATAATGTCTTGTAACCAATTTGGTTGTGAAACTGATGTACATTTTGCAGTACAACAAAACAGCTCATACTGCAACGTTTTTGAGATGTAGGTACGTGGGGACATGGCAGGTTTCAGAATAAATTGTGCCTTCCTAGTGCAAGGTGTGGAATAGGGATTTTGGGGGGTGTGTAACATTTTTTTGTTCTTTCCAGATTCCGTTTTACACAAATCTAAAGTTTACATGAGCTATGCAGCTCCCTCTCTAACTGAAATGATTCAGAAAACTCTGTTTTATTAAATTAAGTTTTAAATTATTTTCTCTTTCTTTTATTTTCCCTAAATAAAAGTATATTCACTGGATTTAAAGGACTAAAACTCTGCACTAGTAGAAAGACTGTTTTAGACTGACTGTAGCCTAAGGAGGTAAATTCCACTAGAGGGCAGCTCAGAGCAAGAGTGAAATCAGTTGCCTTCTTTCAACTTCACAGACCGTGGCTGTAAAAGTCTATTCTTTTTGTTTTCAACAGGGATTAGTTTTTTAGCCTAAAGTATTTTCCATTGTATCTAAACTAGATAAGCCACTAACTACATTACACTAAACGGGAACCTATATTTAGGGTTAAGAGTGTGTGATTGCAAATGTACAGCTTTGCATGCTGAATTCAAGTGCAAGAGAATGCAGGGTGTGTGGGCAAATGTTAACTTTAGGTGGCATTTTTATATATTTTAAGAAGTTGTTTCATTTTATATATATATACATATATATATGCACACATATAAATATGTATATATTACAGTTATAGTGAGATCTGTGCACCAGGCTGAAAATTTTCTGAATATAATTTTTTGTTATCTTTCAAACTTTTTATATTTGTTTATAGTTATTTCTAAAACGTCTGCTCTGGGTTGCTCCACTCACCTGTGTAGTTTACTAGAATAATAATGTTCAGCCTTTGACTTTTGTCTAGATAATGAGATCTTTCACTTTTAGAAACAGCTATTTCTCCCTTAATTCTTACAGTTAGATGGCTACCTCTTCTTCCAGGCATTTTTTATGTCCCCAGTTCCTGGAGAAAACCGTTTCCAATGACAACAGGTTTTTTTGTTACACTAGATTTGTCAATTCAGATCAAAAGCAGAATTATATATATATTTTCTTTTTAATCTGTTGTGATCTATGAAAACTAATTAAACGCTCCTAAGAATCTCTAATTTTAACCTGAAAGTCATTAGATAATTTTTATTTTGAAACTGGGCTGTTATAATGTGAGAAAAGGACTTAAAAATTTGTATTTCTAAAATACTACTAGAAAAATGCATGGCTTGTTGCCTGTCGCCTTTCTTCAATATAGTGTTTGAGGGATGGGTGTTTGTCCTTATGCGAAGAGCATTGCAAAGCATTTTATAGTTCTGTCTACATACTAAATGCTTAATTTTCAGATGTTTTCTGTTTATAAAAGCATTTGTGTGAGCAGATGTGTCGAGATGTCTTTTCTTTGTTAATAATTGAGGCCAGTACGTAATTTCTCACTTAATTCAATATGCTTTTCACTATTCAATTAATCTTGTTCTGAGTATTTTATTTTTTATTGAGCAAGATTTTGTTTTTGAAGTGGCCCCACACATTTAAATGGTTTTAACGCTACAGTTCATTCCAATAAGTTAATGGTATATGCTTAGAGCCCGTCAGAGCTTTTTTGGGTGCATCCACCATATTTTATTTGCTGATTCTGTTATGTTTGATAATGAAAATGCTGTTATTTACTGTAAAGATAAGTGTGTATGTATGAAAGGAAACATCACCAGTTGCTCTTTAGGGTCTCGGAGTCAGCAGTTGTCAGAGGCATAATTTCAAATACAAGTGGGTAAACTAGTATTTTTTTATTTCTCTCCTGTGAGTAGTCAACGATATACAAATTCAACCATAAGAAAAGTGGTGAATTCTTTTTTCCCCAAAATGCTTGTTTTGAGGCTACATTGACAGTGTCAATGTGCTGGCTGAAGTAACACTGAGTGTAGAAGTTGAATTCCTCCTCACTTTTGCACGATGTGGATCTGCTGTCTCCAGAAAGCTGTCAGATAATGAAGGTAATAATGGGGAAATCAGTATGGCTAGTGGTTGTTTTGCTTGGTATGATTTACTAAATATTAATTAGAGTAGCAAAGTCCTTTAACTCCAGTTTGAAGTGATCGTTATTCTGTTGAATTGTATATTAGAAGACGTTTATGAAGTTTGTACATAACAACATTGGTCCAAGTGAAGGAACAGAGGAAGATTATCCCAATGAGTAATGGTATTTAATTGGTGCTGTAATCCACAAAGCCAATGTTTAGACTGTCACGTCTACCAAACAGACTGTCTGGGTATAGAAAAGATTAATTTAGGAGAATCATTAAAAGGAATTTAGGAATTTCAGGAAGTTTTATGGTGCAGAATATGTTGATATATTCTTATCTTAATACCATCCTTGCAATATAGAAACATTGCCTTAAAATTGCCGACCAAACTTTCAGGAATCTTTTGTGTGACGGATATATCCTGTGTTTGCTCCTGTAATTAGGGGATTTCTGCTAGAGATATCTGAAAAGGGAAAAGAAAGCATGAGAATAACTTCTGAATTACGCTACATCTTTGAGGAGGAGAGACTCTTAAATCTGATTCTGAAGGACTCTGTCGGGTTCTGTTGTTCTAATAATAGCAATCAAATGTGGTGCTCCTTCTCTGCTGACTTCCCCCCTCTGTGTTAGTGGTCCCTGCCTCCATAAAAGAAAACCAGACTTGGCTCTTTGACCACTTAAGGTCATTACGTTGTACGGGCCCAATGGATTAACTGCCTCCAATTTCACCCCTAAATTATTAGGTTATACTGTGATTGACAGGCAGTAATCCCTGGCAGGGGAATGGGATTGGTGTCTGGATTTGTTACCTCTTCAGCTGATCCCGCAAGATCTCCTCGACTGGAAGATTTTGTGGTTGTTGTTGGAAGAATATGATGAGTTAAAGCAGAGAGAGGCAAGAGAGCATCCTTCTGGCTACAGCTGTTAATTCTATAGCTGAACAAAGGTCTATTTATATAGTTCCATAAAAGTTTTTTTTATTTATTTTGTGTTTCATTGTTGCTAACTCTGTTGCAAACAGATTGTGTGTACTTGCTAAAGGGACAGCCTTGCCTTCTGTTGTAAACAGTGATTTTGAAGGTAGCTCTGTTTAGATGTGGAATAAAATAAGAGAAATAAGGGGGGAACAATTCATGTGTCTAAACTGTAGTGTCATGATTTTAGTATTTTCTTGTTGTATTCAAAATACTTCTATGGCAGAGTGGAGGTATAACATGGGCCTTGTTGGACAGAAGTTGGAGGCCTGTAGAGATGCCACAGAGCCTCTGAAATGACATCTGAATCCTCAGCTGACCCAGCAAATTCAAAAAGGAGCTCTATCTAAAGTGAATGAAACACAGCAGGGCCAGGAATCTGTCTAAAATTAAGATCAAACACATCATCAACCCGCACAGAATAAATGCAACAGTTTACTTTTAAAAATATGCAGGAATAAATAGAATACAATAGCATTCATTGGCTGTACAATCTGGACAACTTGTGACCAAAGGCTGTTGAGAAATACTAGTTGATTCCTTTCTGTACTGAAATAATAATATGCGTTTGTGTTGCCCTTGATTGAATTACTAACGGTTCTCATTCTGTTTTAGGCTATGGTCAGACTGGTCCAATGGTTCAGAGAGGAGGATATGACTCCATTGCAGCTGCTGTTTCTGGTCTCATGCATATCACAGGGCATGAGGTATGGTGCTCAACTTATACATTTAATAGAATCTGTGTGCCATATACTAAAACTTGATGCCACACGGAGCATGTTAGCCTGTGCTAACACCTGTGTTATGCATGCCCCTCCTGAGTCCAACAAGAGGTCTTAACTCTGTAAATCTGAGAAAATGGTAGTGCTTTTGTGTTTCGTGTATCTCACTCCAGACTTGCAAAGCCCAATACTTGAGAGTCAGATGATGGAAGGAAAATGGTATCCTAAATCTCCAGTGAATAAATTGACAATTTACCCTAACTTGGTAACGGCCACCTGCAGTCACTTCAAGAGCTGTAATAGACACATTGTTCACACCAGGATGATGGAACCGTACATATGTGTAGGAAGTCTCACCCACACTTGGATGTTGATAGTCCTTCTTAAAGAGGAAATTTTGAAGCCATACAAATAACTCTGACAAACTTTCTTTTCGGTCATCCTGCCTGAAAATAAGCAGAGAGATGGCATTTGTGGCTCTAGAAAAGCTTTATGCGCTGCTATTCCCACTGATATTCAACATCTTTGGTTGCTGCAGTGGTGCAGGAAGCATTACAGAAGTAGTTTAGAATCTGGATTCTGGGGATACATAGAACGTGTGTCTTCACCTCAGAAAAATGCTGGTCAAGTAGGCATTTACTTCAGCTGTCTTGAATCACGTACAGATGCAGGGAATGTGGTCTCCAAATGTCGTTTCCCAAGTGAGGTGGTGTTACAAGCCTGATCTGTGCATCGTAGGCACTAGATGGTCTTCTGTGGTGGTGCTTCTGATACTCTGGAAGCAGTAATGCAGATTGTTAGAATCATAGAATCGTCTAGGTTGGAAGAGACCCTTGGGATCATCGAGTCCAACCATCTACCCTACTCTACAAAGTCATCCCCTACACCATGTCCCTTAGCACTGCATCTAAACGGTTAGAGTATGAAACTTGCATACCCTGGATAAACAAGGAGTTCATCAAGTTTCTCTACTTAGATGTTCATGTTTGAGTAGGTTGTTGAACACTAACCGTGCATGATCTGGACATAACTCTACTGTAGGATTGATATTCTGCCAACAGACTTGTTTTCGGCCAAAAACAATGGCAAACATCAGAACTCTGTGCTTGTGGCAGTTATTGTAACCAGAGTCCTCCTTTCTGTATTAAAAAAAAAAAAAACAACTCAAAAATAAAAAAGGTCAAGCATTGTTTGACTGAGGATGCTGAAACATCTTGTGCCTAGTGTCCTAAGACACCCTGCCCCTTGCTGTGATGTTAATGATGCATACTCATAGGATGTCCCATCTCGGAACATGAGAAGACATGGAGTTGAGTGCAGTCCTTAAAGGTATTTCTCTTCAAATCTATAATGCACAGATACACCAAGCAATGACCGATGGCAGTAAATGTAGTGTAAGTAATTTCTGCGTTCTGACCCTGGTGCCTATAGAGTGAAGGTTGATACTTCCAGTACAATGCCAGGAATTTCATGCACACCTCAAGATATACCAAACAAAATTAAATGGGAGTATAAACAAGGGGAAATGTTGCTAGTATCTCATGAATAAATGAAAATATGTTGAAAAAGCTCTTGTAGAACTTTCCAATAATACGTGAATGACAGCAAATACAAGTGTTACACTGAATAATTGCATGTAAGTTATATTATGAGAGTAATATTCCTCAGTGGCCATTATGAAGATGGATTTTATTAAAAGATTGTGTTAAGATCTATGCTGGAAATCCATATGTCTGCATCACCTCACCAGGACTTGAGGCAATGTAATCATAGGAATCATTTAATCATTGTTAGTAACACTTCCATCTACTCACTGGGGGCTTTTAACAATTCATTCAAACTTAGTCATTCTCTTGCATGATTAAAATAAACATGCTAAAACTCGCTTCTTATTTTTCTTTATTTGAAGTTGGTCATATATTGTTTAATCAGTTTCTCAAAACCATTTTCCGAAGTATAGAGGGACAGTTTTGTTTCAAATACTTAAGTGGTCAATGGCTCCAAAGAAGCAAATGTGCCTTCTGCTGTTTTAGTCAAAATTTACTCAAGTGGCTTTAAAGTCATATTGTATGTTTGTTTGAAAGTTACTTTAAAATAACAACGTATTAATAGTAAAATCTTCCATGTTCTGCACTTAAGCTCATGTGACTTGGTTGTGTTTAAAATTCCACAAGACTAGTAGAAAACCTTGTTTCAGTTAGTGTGTAGAAAAGTGGCCAAAGTAAAGAAGAGAAGAGAATCTTGCTCACTTTTTCATACTGTTTTCCTTTATTAAACCTTGAATTATTTGTTGACTAGACAACAAGAAGTTAATATACTAGAAGTAACATGGTCTTTTGAAGCATACTCTAATAGACTAGGGTATGGGTGGTGTTTTTTTTTTCTTAAATGAGATTGAAAATTCCAGTCTTATGAACTGGAAAAAAGAAGTTATTAAAGGTAATTTAATTTTGTATTGCATTGTAGTAACTATAGATAATCAGCGTAGTATCATCAGTATGACAATGCTCAGTGGAAACTTCCCTTCAGTAAACAAGCCACTGGATGTGCTTGTAGGATGGTCTTAGAAGTTGTCAGCTGATGCAGTAGATGAATTGTAATGAATTTGAGCTGCAGCAATAAAACATCTACATACAGCACTGTGGTGCTTAATTTGAGGTATGTTAATAGATACTTACAGCTCCTCACAAAGCATTTTAATAATAGGATTCTAAAATGGTCATGTATCTGACATTTCTAAAATGGATGGAACTAATAGCAATATATATTCCATTTTAGCTTAGAGAAATTTCAAATTGTGAATTTTAGTTTGTTCCAACCATCTGATTTAATACCTCAGAAAGCAGCTTACTGTTGCAGATCACAAACTTTATTGGCCCTGAGGCCATGCCTCCACTCAGGAAAGTCTAAATACTAAGCCATGAAATCAGTTTATTACTAGCACAGAATTTTGAGCAAAACTTAAGCTTTCATTAAGTTTATTGCATACGTAACATTAATTTCCTTTAATACTTTATATTTCGTGTAACTCATTTTTGAGGCAGTAAAGAGATCACAGTGGAAGAGATGAAAGTTTCTGACTAAAATGTGTGTATTTTATCCAAGTTATCTTTTTATTAAGGAGACAAAGATGGTGTAATACAAATGTGGAATGCAGGAAATACATACAATAATATCACATTTTATACAGTGAAAAAAACAGTATAAAACTCTTGAAAGGGAGACAATATCATAGACTTCGTAAATCTGATTACGATCTGAGAGAAGATCCCTGCATAAAGAGTTTCTGAATGCCTTCCTTTTTCCTTTTTGCTAGGAAATAGTTGTTACTGAGATGACTTAATGCTGATTACTTTGAAATGCTTTCGAGTAGTGCTCTGAACCTTGAAATCAAACTGTTAACTTCTGCAAAGTTGGGCACAAACAACTGCATTTGTGCCAGTGTTGTTTTTGTTGATTCTATAAAACCAAACACATTCAGCGTACAGTAGAATGCTTTCTTTAAACCATGTTTTCATGTGTGTGAAAACCTGCATGGAATTCAAGCTCTTACACATGTACCTGATTATCTCTGTATTAGAAATGTACGACACCTGTGGAATTTGAAATTCCAGTGTGTTTATGAAAATTTACAAGCAATAGAGGGGAATCTGCTTTGTGTAAATCTGTACCACAAATACATTTTGAGTGAGAGTAGGTGCTTCAGGCCACATTCAGTTTTTCTTTACATAAATTAAAATATGCTAAAAGGAAAGAGTTTACGCTGGTGACACTTTTATTTTCCAGGATGACATAATTTATAGGTATTTCCTGGTTAAACAACACATTCAAGTTTCATATTTGATGAAGAGAAAGCTGTAACTTGGTGTACTCAGATACATCAGTGCCAGATGAACCGCCCTTTGAAAATTTCTATGACTCATTAAGGCAATAACTTTTAAATTAATTAAATAAAACCCAATTTGGATACAAATCCCCTTCCACCTCCAAGTGGATTATTACACATGGTTTTCAATATTTGGGGTATCTTTATGGCGGTGCATTCTTTCTTGCTGAAGAAACATTTTTGTTTTACTGACCATGAGACAGCAAGACGCGATTGGGATCTACAGTACCAGAGGGGCCATTCTTCAGCCTAAAACCAAACAAACTGCAACAAAAGAGTACACATGGTGTATAGCTTAAAGCTGTTGAAAAATATAGCCATTGCTGGTTCATATTAGCTTCAGCAGCTATTTCCCATCTATAAAAGCTACTAGACTTAGAATATTTTTATTAAGCGTGTCATTTCAGAACAATTTCCATTTGTAATGGATCGTTTTTGTCTTACTGATGTCAATTCAGGAAGAGAAGTTATGTCAAAGGGCAAAAAAAAAAAAAAAAAAAAAAAAAGACGATTCAGGAAGGGAAGCTTCCAAAATGTGTTGTGGCTATCTCTGGGCTAGAATGTGTTGACATATTGTAAGGAATTTAGCAAACATTGGGAGTAGAAGTGTAAACTGGTGGTGAGATTGAACAATAGCAAAGCACAGCAAAGGAAGAAAAGTTCTGGTCTACTGGAGTGAATCTTCATCTTTGCAAACGAGCAAAGGGCACGTCCTGGTGCTATCCCTAATTAGGGTTCAACCCAACCCTGGAGCCTAGAGAGAAGCTTTTTTTTTTATTTGCTTAGAGCATTTTCTCCCTGATCTAAGGCTACATTTTGTCCGTCTACTAGAAGATTAATGTCACTTTTGCCTGGCAGGGGTGGTGTCACTGGTGTTTGTTACTTCTAAAATAATTTGCTTGAATAAAACATACTGTATTAAACCCTTTGCTCAGGGAACTAGTATAACATTAGCTACACAAAAATACTGCTGCCCTGTCAGAAGCTCTGTCTAAAGGAAGGTATTTCGTAGAATCATAGAGATTAATGTCACTTTTGCCTGGCAGGGGTGGTGTCACTGGTGTTTGTTACTTCTAAAATAATTTGCTTGAATAAAACATACTGTATAGACCCTTTGCTCAGGGAACTAGTCTAACATTAGTTACACAAAAATACTGCTGCCCTGTCAGAAGCTCTGTCTAAAGGAAGGTATTTCGTAGAATCATAGAATGGAAGGGACCTTTAAGATCATCTAGTCCAACAATCAACCTATCTCTGATTAAAAAAAAAAAAAAAACAACAAAAGAAAACCATACAAAAAAACCCCAACTGTGTCTTTAAGTAAAGGGACCTTTAAGATCATCTAGTCCAACCATCAACCTAACTCTGATAAAAAACCAAAAGAAAACCATACAAAAGAAACCCCCACATTACTAAACTCTGTCTTTAAGAACTATGTCAACCCATCTTCTGAAAACCTCATCCTTCATACAAAGCAGCTTCATATCCCTTGTTCTGCAGGATAGAGATGAAAACCTGAATGAATCCATTTCACAGTACTTAGAGCCATGCGTTTCCCGTCACAGAACGGCTGGTTTATGGCACAGGTGGACATTAGAACCTGATTAAAGGGTGAAAAATGGCAGCTACTCACAGATCTTGGTAGAAAGACCAAGGAAGAGTAGAAATTGTGTGGACTGCTGCAGAATTATAGGTTGTGGAGTGTTAGCATGAAGTAAAACCAAGGTGTTAAAAATAAGACAGCAGTATAGTGCTAATAGTTTGACTTCTCAAATGTAGGAGTGTTCTGTAATGGGAAATAGTGAAGCTATTTGTAGAAATAAAGGTTAATCTTTTACTGAGGGAAAGGAAGTGTTTGCTTTAAAACATTAGGTAGCCTAGTACTTGAGGAGAAAAGTGCTGGAATCAAGGCTTGAGAATCCATATCAACGATCTATTTGCATCCATATGCAACGATCTGTTAATATAGTCCTGATTTTTATATCTTCAAAGCTTAGTTTTCCCCATCAAGGGTGAAATTAGTGACACTTTGAAAAGAGTGGGAAGTGTTTTCAGGCTAAGAATGTTGCTGCACATCTGTTTGCAAAATCTTGTCTTTTTTGATTTCTTCTCAAGCCAGTGTCTTGGCTGTAATGAGGAGAGGAAAGAAAAATTTAACAAACTGAGAACTTGCAGCAGATAATACGGAGTTTTAATATTTTGGTGGTTTTTTCATTTGTATTTCTCAGTGATAGGTCTGAGGAGCAAAAACCTTCTCATGTGCTAATTAGTTTTCTCAGTAGGCCTATGGGTATAAAAATAAAGAATTTCCCTTCCTGTTTCCCCCCCCAAGTTGGGTACAAGGACAGTGGTGAATGGATGGAACCTTTGTGTTGTCCTTTCCTTTGGGAAGCTGAAGTAGCTTAGTGTAGAGAAGTGAAAAAGAAGAGATTCTTCAAAAAAGAAGTACTTCCTAAAGCAATGTTCACCTTAAGATTGTATAGGTTATAAATAATCCTTAATATCTAGGATATAGCTAGTCACAGACTAATCCTTCTAATCCTTACTGCAGTTTGAATGACAGTAGCTGAGATTTTTTTTTTTAAATTTTGTTTTATTTGATACAGATTTTATAATTTTCTTAGTCATGTTTATGATATGAATAAATTAGCAACCTTTTCCATTCTGTATACAGAATATTTTACTACAGGCTTTTTTCTCCAAATTGACCAGTTAAAGCAATTGATAATGCAATATTATATTATTTTTCTTAAAATAATTTTTAGTTTGTATATTACTTGATATCAAACTTACATACACCCTGTTGGAACGCAAAGGTAAAAAAAATAACATGGTGAAGATAAGTTTTAAAATTTTTACATGAAGCCAAGACACACATTTTTTTATAATTATCACTAAACATAACTCTTCCAGTCTTAAAGTATGATTACACTTAGCGGTTTAGACATGACTAAATCAAGTAATTCTGTAAATTCAATTTTATTGAATTTATGCTTGATGAGTTTAAAGGCCTTTATGGGAACTTTGACAAATGGTTGGGCTTTTATCAATTACACTGATTTTAAATTGGCTTATGATAGGCTTACTGAAGTGCTGAAACGATCTCATTAGCTTTGCACTGCTATTTGTGGACTGGACTTCAAGGCAAGCAATGGCTGTTCAGAATCTGAGCATCCAACCTCAAACTTCTCAGAGTAGGAAATGGGAGAATGTCACAGAAGAAGCACTTCTGAGCTTGAATGATAAAAGCCTACCTTGACTGAAATGAGAAGTTCATTTTGCCATTGAGTGGAGAGGGACCATGTTTCATGCCAACGATAAGGGAAGTTCTGATGTGTTCAGGCTCTAACAGGGTAGGTTTAGACTGAACATTAGGAAGGAATTTTTCACAGAAAGAGTGGTCGGGCATTGGAACAGGCTGCCCAGGGAGGGGGTGGAGTCACCATCCCTGGCTGTGTTTAAGAGCCGTTTAGATGCGGTACTGAGGGACATGGTGTAGGGGAGGACTTTGTAGAGTAGGATAGATGGTTGGACTTGATGATCCCAAGGGTCTCTTCCAACCTAGACGATTGTATGAAATGAAGATTCTTCCCTTGATACCAGAAAAAAATAACGGCATACTGAAAAAGAATATTCAAACCAACAACTTTACAGTGATTTTTGGTCAGGAGATCAAGAATTTGAATGTATTTGCTGGTGTAACGTCCACATGAGTAAACATAACAAAGTTGGTTTTGTTTTCTCACTAGAAGCCTGGGGTGCGTGGACTGGAAAATACAAAACTGAGATTTGGCTGAGGGAGGTCCTTGAGAGGAAGGAGAAAAAGAGAGTGAGAGAGAATAACAAAGCAGTGGGGTTCTGTCTTTTAAACAGGCATGCACCCGTGTCAGTGAGCTGTGGAAATCCTTGAGACCTGTGGCTTGTAGACATAATGAAATCCAGTTTTCACTGAATTTTCTTGTCTCTGACAGTATCTCTTTCCTTTTTGCGTTAGCAAGTTGAAGCATTATGCTATCAGGGCAAAAAGTAGCTAACCAAATCATTCACAATTTGCAATCTGCAGCATCAGGAAGTTACAGAATTGTGTAGATGCTGCAAGAAGCTGCAAGTTGTCCGTGGTGGGTCTTATGCTTCAGTTCACTCAAAGATACTCCAATTTCCAGCAGTTTGCCATGCAGAAACACGTAAACACTTGTTCAGATGAGTTGTGTAGAATGTGCTATAACAAAGAGTAGCTTTTTGCCTCTTTTTGTTTCCTTCTTTGTTTTCTTTTGTTTTGTTTTATTTTGGGGTGTTTTCTGCTTTTGAATTTTCTTGTCTCTGACAGTATCTCTTTCCTTTTTGCGTTAGCAAGTTGAAGCATTATGCTATCAGGGCAAAAAGTAGCTAACCAAATCATTCACAATTTGCAATCTGCAGCATCAGGAAGTTACAGAATTGTGTAGATGCTGCAAGAAGCTGCAAGTTGTCCGTGGTGGGTCTTATGCTTCAGTTCACTCAAAGATACTCCAATTTCCAGCAGTTTGCCATGCAGAAACACGTAAACACTTGTTCAGATGAGTTGTGTAGAATGTGCTATAACAAAGAGTAGCTTTTTGCCTCTTTTTGTTTCCTTCTTTTTTTTTTCTTTTATTTTATTCTTCTGTGTTCTCTGCTTTTTCCTCTAGGGTGGTGAGCCAGTTAGACCAGGAGTGGCCATGACAGATCTTGCTACTGGGTTGTATACGTACGGAGCAATTATGGCTGGTTTGCTTCAGAGGTATAAGACAGGGAAAGGACTGCACATCGACTGTAACCTCTTGTCATCTCAGGTAGGAGTTTGAAAAGAATTTGGATTTTCTTGTCTCTGACAGTATCTCTTTCCTTTTTGCATTAGCAAGTTGAAGCATTATGCTATCAGGGCAAAAAGTAGCTAACCAAATCATTCACAATTTGCAATCTGCAGCATCAGGAAGTTACAGAATTGTGTAGATGCTGCAAGAAGCTGCAAGTTGTCCGTGGTGGGTCTTATGCTTCAGTTCACTCAAAGATACTCCAATTTCCAGCAGTTTGCCATGCAGAAACACGTAAACACTTGTTCAGATGAGTTGTGTAGAATGCGCTATAACAAAAAGTAGCTTTTTGCCTCTTTTTGTTTCCTTCTTTTTTTTTTCTTTTATTTTATTCTTCTGTGTTCTCTGCTTTTTCCTCTAGGGTGGTGAGCCAGTTAGACCAGGAGTGGCCATGACAGATCTTGCTACTGGGTTGTATACGTACGGAGCAATTATGGCTGGTTTGCTTCAGAGGTATAAGACAGGGAAAGGACTGCACATCGACTGTAACCTCTTGTCATCTCAGGTAGGAGTTTGAAAAGAATTGCTTTTCCTTGTGTAGGTGTTTGGATCTAAGAATACCGTTTTGACATAAATCAATGCAAAATTAGTTAGTGCAACTAACGACAGCAATAATAATGACAATAATGACATTAGTGACAGCTTGGTTTTCAGTTGACATTTGGTTTTCAGTTTTTACAAAGGACCTCCATAGGTTAATCAAGGTTTGTAATATCACTGAGATTGTAAGTAACAGTTGTCGTAGGTAACTTGAGATAGACAAGCATAAATGGTGGAACTGCTGTTGGAGGGGAGGCCTGGCACTGGGTAATATTACCACCAGCGTGATAGAGTGACTTGTGTAAAATCATCCAGAGTAATTGAGTATGACCCAAGTATTAAAGTAATCTAATCTGGGAAGCCTGTCTTTTGGCTCTGGGAATGAAAGAATAAAGTAAGCCTGAAGATACAACATTTTCTCTAGGCACGTTAAATCTCATGAAAATTGTGAAGACAGAGATGTTTTGATTGTGAAAGGCGTACCATGTACCATCAATAATGAGAACTTTAGCTTGCCCGTGAACATTTAAGCACCATTGGTGCAATCATTTATACTTCAGAAGAAGAAAGTGATGTTATAAGCTACAAATGATTGGGTGGTGCTTTGTCTTGCTGATGTAGGTACCTGCTGGTAGCAACAGGGCGCATGGTGTGGAGGAATTTTTGTGTACGTTTGAAAATATACACCAAAAGTGTATGCAGTACTAATCAAAGCTACTACGGTGCTCTCTTATTTTTGTCTTTATTCAATTTTGTGTTTCTTCATGTTATACCTGCCAGTACAGCTGAGAGGTGATACAGTGCCTATTGTGCAGCAAGTTGGCCCTGGAATGAGCAGGAGGTTGAACAATATGACCTCCAAAGATTCCTTCCCAACTATATGTCACTGTTTGATAATAATGATTGAGGTTGTGCTTTTTTTAACACATACTGCTCTTGTTTTAATACCTGCTGAAATCAGATCTGGAAAGGAGGGGAAGGCCTTGCTTAAATCAACATAGAATATTTCATTTGTTTCAGAAATGTGTCTGAGGACTGAATTCTTTATCATACTTATGTGTATTTGTAAACGTGGTGTCTATGTTTGACAAAATGTAATAAGCAGTTATTTTTTTGAACATTTCTAAACATTTTAAATGTATGTTAAACTCTTGCTAAATATTTTTGTATATATGCAGAAGTATTTTTTTGTTTAATGTATCTGATAGTGTTTTATAGAATGGCAGTTTCTGCTCGATCTTTTTCATTTCTAATTTTATTTAAAAGGACTTAAAGTAATGTCTAGGGGTTTCCAGGGACATTCTGTTGTTTTTGATTCCTTGTTCCACTGTCTTTTTGCTTTTTTTAATGGAGCCTTCTTGATTATTGTTTGATATTTTCTCAGATGCTGAAAGTAACAGAAGTTAATTAGGTGTTGCTGAGATTATCTTTTTTTATTTCACCTTTATCGAGTTGCCTCATTCGTCTCTAGAATCTTTTTCCTTGGTTAGGAAAGCTTTGGCTATGCACAGAAGTGTTCTCATGTTGCAAAATTTCAATCTGAAGTTCCACATCGTCATCCTTCAGGCTACTCAGTGAGGAAAGGGAATGAAGACTTGAATAGATGTTAGTGAGCAAAGCATGATATGTGGCGTTGAATTTCTACATGCTTAGCTGAAGAAGTACCAAATAGTGAAGGGATAATTTAGTGCTTTTTAAAAATACTAATCCATTGCATGGTTGTTATCAAATTATAGTCATCTAAAAGGTATTAAGAAGTTATTCTATATATGCACACTCCTAATGCAAAAGAACTGTTTTTATTTACTTCAGTGTTGGGTAAACTGAACTGAAATAAGCTGATATTTTGGAAGAGAGTATATGTAAAAGTTGTTATTCAGAAAACAGCTCTTTTGTTTTAGATAACCCTATTTCTTCAGTCCAAATTAACCTTACGGTGTTGACCCATGATTGTAATGAGAACATTTATTAAACTGGGGAAAATTCAGAAAACAGCTCTTTTGTTTTAGATAACCATATTTCTTCAGTCCAAATTAACCTTACAGTGTTGACCCATGACTGTAATGAGAACATTTATTAAACTGGGGAAAATAATTATGGATGAGATGCTGGGGTACCAGAAATAAACCCATGTGATCGATCTGATTAAAAGACTTGTTAAAATGAATGAAGAACGTAACTGACAGCTGAATCTCTCTGAGTACATTTAGCTTTCCTGGTTTGTTTTCTTTCTTTTTGCAAAACTGGTGTGGTTACTTGTAAATTTTTAAGGGTGAGCGTACTAAGAAAGATGACCAGAAATCTAAAAATTAATGTAAAAAAAAATTGCTCTCTCAGTATTTCTGTTGGTAATTATTTTTTTTTTTAAAAAGGTAAGTTACACAATTACTGTGATACAATCAGGTTCTTGAAAGATCCATGCTTTCAAAGGGATTATGATTTTACATACCAAGCTGAGATATCTAAAGCTAGCTCTTCCTCGTGTGATGAATGTTTAAAAAGTATGACCCTTTGAAGTCTCTCACGGATGCTGCCAAAACAATAAGGAACCTAAACTTTTAGTTTGTTAGGTTCTTCTTGCAGTTGATTAATGGTAGGATCTAGAGGTGAAACAGATGTATCATGATAACTTTTCCTTCAGTGTGAGTTTCACTGGAGTGTAGTAGGTTTTAATGAGGAAAAAAGGAATCCTGTTTTCTGTGTGTAAAACAAAAGCATTACTGAACTCTGTTCCTATTAAGAGTGTTACAACAGCAGAGACCTGTATGAAATTTTTTACTTTTTTCAGTATTTCATGCACTGAGCTTGCACCTTTTGTCCATCCCTTCCTCTGAACTGAGAATTGTGAAGGTGGACTATCCATATCTCTTCACTGAGCAGTTTTGATGACTTTAACTGTCAGAAAGGGAAAAAAAAAAAAAACAACCCCAGGAGTTAAAGCACTTAAATAATTGGAAATATCTGCAAAATGCTTGGCTTATTTTATAGCAAAAAAACTTAATGTGTACATATCTATTTCTGTCTGTGCTATCATTTTACTGTATACCTTATAGAAATGGAAGAGTTCTTTTCTTTTATTGGGGGGAGGAGAGAGGAAAGGAAGGTGCTTTCGATATTAATTTCTTGCAAAGATATGCTAATGACAAAGAGCATTGAACTGAATTCAACTGCCAATGAAAATATCTGAAGCTTTTTAAAGAAATATCCCACTATCTGGCAAGTTTGTTTACTATTTAACATGTCTGTGTAGAACCAAATGATAAGTGGAATCCTGTCCACTAAAGAGATGTTATTTTTAGCATATCTTAAAAAGATATTCTGTATATTGAGCATTTTTGCCCTATAGCTTTATAGCAGCTTATTACTACCAAAGAGGATATATTTCCCCACAACAAAACAGAATTCTAGAGTCTTATTGACAAGAGAGATACGGTGACCGCTAGGATGTGGTTTTGTGGTGAGCACTAACTTTCTATATCTCTCATCTATAAACTTTTAACCCATGTCATACAATTCCTTTGAAATTTTTGACTTTTAGATGATTTACAGTTGTCAGCTCCAGACCTTTCAGCGTCAGCATCTAAATAGTGTCCTTTAGATGATGCTAGTAAATAAGAAGGAAGTGGGTTTTGGATTTGGTTCCAATTATGCAATTGTGCCTTTTCTTCTGTTGTGGCTTAAAAAAAAAATCTCTTGGAAGTTTTAATATCCTTCCTGTATTTAATTACAACCAGGCTCCAACAAATACTGTAATAAGTTGGTTTCTCTTGGATTGAAAATCTGCAAGAAGTATTTTACATTTAACATTTCTTCAATTTTGGAGTGTGTTTTTTTTTCTTCCCCCTCCGCCTTTTCTTCTGTTGTGGCTTAAAAAAAAAATCTCTTGGAAGTTTTAATATCCTTCCTGTATTTAATTACAACCAGGCTCCAACAAATACTGTAATAAGTTGGTTTCTCTTGGATTGAAAATCTGCAAGAAGTATTTTACATTTAACATTTCTTCAATTTTGGAGTGTGTTTTTTTTTTCTCCCCCCCCGATTCCACAGACAGGATTATGTGGTTAATATTGTTTATATTATATGATTGCTCATCAGACACTTCTCTGCTTCTGATTACTGTATTTTACTGCATTTGTATATGCCATAGCAAACTCTCAATCTTCAAATTTTAAAGGGACCCTAGAAAATTGGTATAAATAATTTTCTATATTCCATGTTTGTGCTTTAGTTTGGCAGTTATTTTATTGAGATAATGGCAAAGTTTAGAAACAATTAGTTTTTGTTTCTGGATCGCTTTTTCCCAAGACAACTGTGTTTCAGGCTTATCTATTTAAGGTGCTTAATATTGTTTATATTATATGATTGCTCATCAGACACTTCTCTGCTTCTGATTACTGTATTTTACTGCATTTGTATATGCCATAGCAAACTCTCAATCT